TAAAAAGATAAAGAATACTTTTACAGACAGCGGTTGAATGTAATTAAGTATGTTTACTAAGATACTTTTCTGTACATAAAGTACTTTTACTTTACTAATGGATGGATTACTGAACAGGCCTATAGGGAACAGGAACAGGGGCTCAAAGGTCATGGGCCCCCCCTGGACTTGATATAATAACTGTACCAACTAGGAAGATATTTAAAGGGGCCCTATTATAATCATTTTCACGTTGCTAATTGGATTATGTGCCTCTACTGTGACATGTTTACATGTTTTAATGTTCAAAAAGCTCTTTATTTTTCTCATACTGCCTGTGTTGCAGTTCCTCTTTTTACCCTCTGTCTGTAACCAGAGCCCAGTCTGCTCTGATTGGTTAGCTGACCGGCTCTGTTGTGATTGGCCAACCTATCAGAGATGTCCCGTCCCTTCAACCCAGTCTCACGGCATTTCGTGTTATACAGTAGTCACAAAATTAATTTAATCTATTGATTCGTGTTCACCAACATGATTTTCGCATTTTTTTCGTGTCACACAGAACGATTTTAAAAGCAATGTATTTCTATTGGTAGTATATTTCGTGCCTGCACCACGTCTTTTTGTCCGGTCGGGTACCAGAAGCTGTGTGGTTCATAAAAACATTTTCTCACTCAATATCTTACCCTAAGCCTAACCCTATCCCTTTTATTTTAAATAGTATAATGTCGGAGTTTTGTTGCCATCCGTGAGGAAAAGAAATGGCTCAGAGCCTCAGAATACTGAAATCTGTATTTTTTGTCATCTCTTTTCCCTTCTAATTTGTTATTATTTGGTGCAGGCACGAAACATACTACCAATAGAAATACATTGCTTCTAAAATCGTTCTGTGTCAGAATACTGAAATCTGTATTTTTTTTAATCTGTTTTTCCTTCTAATTTGTTATTATTTACATTGCTTTTAAAATCGTTCTGTGTGACACGAAAAAAATGGCGAAATCGTGTTGGTGAACACGAATCAATAGATTAATTTTGTGACTATAACACGAAATGCAGTGAGACTGTGTTGGTCCCTTAGCCTATCACGTACAATGTGTTGGAGGGCTAGCCAATAGAAGCTCAAGTGTTACGTATAGGGCTGTCAGTCGATTACAAATATTTAATCGCGATTAATCGCATGATGTCCATAGTTAATCGTGATTAATCGCAAATTAATCGCACATCTTTTATCTGTTCTAAATGTACCTTAGAGGAATATTTTTCAAGTTTGTAATACTCTTATCAACATATGAGTGGACAAATATGCTTTATGCAAATGTTTGTTTATTATCATTGGAACAATGACAAATATTCTCCTGAGTATTTTCAATACAACAACCTGGAACCTCTCTCTCTCTTACACTCTCTCCCAACCCTGTGTACTTCTCTGCACTGAGCCAGTTGCTCAAACAGACAAGCCTGTTTACAATTGTCGGCGAAATGCCGCTCCTCTGTCTTCATCTTCATAACAGTCAAGCATGAGACTGAAGTTCCCACTGTGGGTCAAAATAATGCGCTGTGATGTGCAGTCGACAGGTTGGATGCGATCCGAATGATCTAACGTAGCCCCTCGTCCTCCACAATGTTCAGCTGTAGCCACCCATTTAGCTATCGCTGTTGAAAGCTTGCTGCTCGTAGAAGTGTCCAGGCGTCTCCCCGGCAAACTTTCAAGCGTGGTCTGCCGCAAGCGAGCGGCAGGAGCGGGGCTGTCAGCATCAGCTGTGTGCTTGGCTTGCTGTTTAAAAGACCTTTTTTTGTATCCATATCTCTCGCTAGAATCTCCCACCATCCAACTAACAACAACAACAACGTCAAGCCTTTGGGCTCTGAAACTACGGGGCGGGCCGAGGACAAATACACATGCGTTAATCGCACGTTAAAATAATTAGTGGCGTTTTTGCGTTATTAACGCGTTAACTTGACAGCCCTAGTTACGTACTGATGTCATTATGTCACAGAAGTTAACCAAGGATTCCAATGGAGGCGTTCAGGCCTTTGGAACTTTGGGATTTTATCCCTTGCATACCATTTACATGCACAAAAACCTATGTAGTGGCTTTTAACTTTATCCATACTTAAGCCACTGAGGGATGGGAACGGGAGAACTAAGTTCGGACGCGTGTTCCAGATGACAAAACAATGTCCATACGAGTGTATATCTTTCAATCTATCGATCCTTTTATTTTGTTGTCCATATAGCCTTTCTGTTACCATTCAGATACCAATATATGCACGCCAGTCACGCTGAATACAAACAGGTTTAACACACACAGCTCATATTGACACGGCTTCTGCCGACACGGTCGAAAACTGTTTGCTTCCGTCCTAAAACACCTGCACCTGATCACCCAGTGATTACATTTATACACACACACAAGTGAATACTCCATCTTGTGTAGAAAGTTGGAACTGCATCATTAATTAAACGTGCAGATAAAATACAAACAAAGACACATGCATTATGGCTCCAACAACCTATACGACACTCTTTCAGGAAAACCCCCAAAAGCATATTAAGGCCCCTTTAAATTTACCTGAAAGAAACCCTGAAACGACTACAAAAACAAGTATCACAAACACATACCAAATAGCTGCAAAGAGACACAAAGTGACACCTTAGCCGCGTTCACACCGCAGTACTTTTCCCACTTTAGTTTCGAAATGTCACGTTCACACCAAAAAGAGCCGGAACTAAAATTAGTTAATCAGAACCTTTTTTACCCCCTTTTCCGTCCCTGCTAGAGAGCAGGTACTTTCGTGGGAGAAAAAGGTTCCTCTGTCTGATTGGCTGGGCGGAATGCAAACCACGCCCCGTAAAACTCCCAAAATCTTTTGTGAAGCCGCCATTTACTCGGAAGCTGCTGGGACTCCCAGCAGCTTCTACTGAAGCCAGTCCCCAACTCCGGGGACTTCCGGCCGGGGACTTCGGGTGGCAGTATACGCCGTGAAGTTGTTTGCGGCCTGCCAGTCAACCCAAAGCAGAAGAAGAAGAAGTGACGTCAGCGGCTTCATTTGCCTAATCCTCCCTCAGGGACTTATTCAGGTGTGAACGCGATCTGTGCTTAGTTCATGAGAACTACAGAGTTCTCATGAACTAAGTTCTGATGAACCTTTGTGGGAAAAGTACTGCGGTGTGAACGCGCCTAATGACTACTAATGGCGCATTTCCACTGCAGGGCCTCGCACGGCTTAGTACGGTATAGTTAGGCCTTGGTAGGACTGGCTCACTTTATGCTGCGTTTCCATTACAGTTTAGTAGCTGGGGCAGTAACTATAGTAACGCAGTGTAGGCGGAGCCGTGACGTCATCTTCAATGCGAACCAGAGAAAAACAACATCAGCCGTTAGCTGTTAGCCCTCAGAGCTCACAGCTCCTCATATCTGTTCAGAAACTAGACAAAAGTTAAACAAGTACAAACCACAGACTGCCTGTGTCATGGTGAATACAGTCGCTGCTTTATTTATGTCTGTATAGGCCGTTGTTGTGAGTGTGGACGGTTGGAGCATATACTGCGTTAGCTTAGCCGATCTCCATTTAGACAACACACATTTTAAAAGGTTTTTCGCCTGCCGTCTGTCTGCAGACTTGTCAAAGCATTAATTCATGGTTTTAACTAACCGGTATCAGTATGTTGTTACTTCGGCATCATTTTGAAACGTGTATTACAATTAAATCACAGTAAAATATGTTCATTTTGTTGTAGTTGTAGCCCCCTTGCCAGCGATTCTCTCACTAGTTTAGCATATTCAGCCCGGTGGTTGGCCCGGAAAGAACCTGGATTTTGGAGAGCCAGAAAAACTGTGAAACACAGGGTTCCCACTGGGGTCTTAAAAAGTCTTACATTTGATAATCAGAATTGAAGGCCTTAAAAAGTCTTAAATATGATCAAAAAAATAAGAAAGGTCTTAAATATGATTTAGAAGGTCTTAAAAATGATCGGATTTGAAAGGTACTTCTGTGTAGCGATCGCGTCTAAATGTGTTTTGGGGGAAATGTCCGGGCTGCAAAGTAACCAGTACGGTAATAGCCTTTCAGTTCCCCCCAACAATTTGTATTGAAATAAATCAACATGGAACTAGTAATCACTAACTCTGTTTCCCCTGGCCCCTTATCGGAGAAATCCCAGCGTGTAACCTAGCAACCAAGCTTCAGCTAGCGGAAGTCAGAAACCTTGGTATCTTCGAATCTACTTACAAATAAATATGGTGAAGTGTCAGTTCAACCATATTTGGTTGGAAAACATCTAATTTAGTGCTTGGTTGAAACCAGTGGAGGGGAACGTGTTTGAAGCCCGCTGCACCTTTTGCAAACAAAAAATAGCGTTTGTTTTGCTGATGTAGCGTTAGCTCCCGCAACAACATCGGGGGACCGGTAGGTGCTGTGGACGCTAAATACCGTAGCTAAACACCAATCATACAACAGCAACGATGAAAGATTGTAGCCAAGGCAGCAGAGCTCTGAATATAGCTCTTGTCACTCACACTCACACGCACACAGAGGGTTTGGCACGGCACGCTTAAACCGTGCTACGCGCTGCAGTGGAAATGCGCCATAAGAGACTAAATAACTGCAAAGACACAAAACAAACTCAAAAGGAGGCTATACAACTACTGTATGCATTTTGTGATTCTTGCTCCTTTGTAGAAGAAGAGGTGGTACCCTTGCAGGGGCCCATTGTCTCATTTTCCGCCCTTGACTTTACTTGATTAACCTACATACATTTTTTGCTATATTATATTTCTATTCCACAAGACTCATTTATTCTCCCATGACATCTGCTGTTACTTTGTAGATTAACATTTGACATGTTCCTACAATTTTGAAGATTTTAAACGTAAAATGATTTTAAAATATTTGATTAAATCAAGTATTGTTACAGATTCAATAACCCAATGGCTTGTAGTTATTAATATATAAATATTGATTATATATATTGACACACAGTTTGTGTGCAGTATTATGTCACAAACTAAACATAGACAATGTTTCTTTAAAAAAATCTCATTTTTATTAAATGATCTGTGTGCTCTTGGAGTGGTAAGTAGTTTAGCAACATACATTAGCATTTCAAAAAATCTGAGAGCTATAGCGTCCATACTTTACATACATGGATTATATCTATTGTGTAGAAATGTTCACTGTCTATTTTGTTATTAAACAGACTGCTCACAAAGGACGGACGCAGCATACCACATCTAAATGGTACAACATTAGGAGGATGAGTTGCCTTCTCGCTATATGTGCTTTACTCAAACACCATTACATTCACCGGGTTCATGTAAAAAAGAAAAAAGTAGTAAACAACTACAGTAAAATAAACATTACATGTTTGTACAAAATGTATTACATCCTACATTCCATATCAATACTACGTGGTTATTAATACTACACTGAAAAAACTGAAAGGTTGACTTTAATTAAATGTATTATGTCAACAGATTTCACTTAACCGTATTAGGTTAGTTGAAAGCAATAATATTTTTACTTTAAACGTAATATTATTGCTCTCAACTAACCTTATACGGTTAAGTGAAATCTGTTGACATAATACATTTAATTAAAGTCAACATTTAACTTTTTCAGTATAGGGCAAAAAGTGCTTTTACAGTATCATTCGTTGTACAAAATATGTATATATTTACAGGTGACGTATAGAGTGGGAAGTGGTTGCTGTGTATTCAGGATTCAGTCTTCTTTTCTCACAGGTGAATGTACACATGGAACTAAGGTCCGTCACAAGGTCAAAAGGTCAGGTGCTCTGGCTGCTTACACTCGTTTTTAGCACCCTCCCTTTTCCTCTCTCCTATTTCACGTTCAGTCACATTCAGTATCTCCCTGTATCTCAATGCTCCAATACTGAGGTATGTGGTTTGACTTCACAGGAAATTGTCTCACATTCTTCATATTTCTTGTCTGTCCACTCTAGACTACAGGCAGCAGGTGGCAGGGGTTGGTAGAGGTGAGGTTTAGCAGACAGTGTGGAGGGGCGACAACGGGCTGTCCAGGGTGTCAGTCGGAGACAGACATGAACTGGAGCTTTTAAACATGGACGAGATATGGAATGCCTGGAAAACACACAAGCACACGCCAAACTTTAGGATTTTAACAGACCCTGGTATATGGATATGCCCAAAAACTAGGTAAGGTGTACTCACCACCCAGTAAGCAGTCAGGGCGCCCTGTATGTAGCCTGTGAGCACGTCGGACGGGTGGTGCCTGAAGTCTGAGATGCGGGTCAGACCTGTGTAGACCGCCAGCAGAACCAGGAAGAACTGCAGCGCCGGCCTCAGCAGCCGAGCACCGCGCCATGTCAACCTCGCCTGCAGGTAAAACTATGTGACAAAAACAAACAACATCTTAATTTTGTGTGTACGGTTGTCATCTGTTATCGTAAATAATAGATTTTCCATTGAAGTCTACCAGTCAGTTTTTTTTTCATGAGATTTGGGGGAAGTTACAGGGTGGGCGTAGCGCTTTTTGACGTTTGGGGATCCTAAAGTTGGACAGAGTTTTGTGTATGCAGCGCCTTTGGTAAACAGCGCAAACATCTTCATTTGCATGTGTTTTTTTTATCTGCATCCTTTTTTTAAACTGCAGCGCGTTTTCCCTAATGGAAATGTTTTGGCCCGTTGTAACAACTTTGCACCTGTCGGCCACCGTTAAAAGAGCATGGTTGATGGACGGCACCAATCTTATTTTTATATCCTATTAATGATGACAGTATGTTTGCCAATGTTACTCATTTTATTTATTTATTTTTATTTATTTAATCGTTTATTTGGCCGGGACAATGCACAGTAATGAACACTTAAAACATTGAAATGTATCAAGCGTAACAGTACCAGATTTAGCTTTGAGCTAATTTCCATCCGCAGTCCCTCACATTAAACATTTAAGAAAATTACATTTTACAAACATAGCAAAAACAAAATACATGATATGCAAAAAGTGCAAAAGAGCATGAGCAGCAAACACAAGTATTTACCACATGGCAGTACAATATAGCAGCTACGACATATATGGTGCAAGAGAAGATAAAAGTGCTACATAAAGTGCAAGAGGAGATACCCCTGTGTAAAAGTGCATTTAGCGGTGATTACACGTCTGTTTGTTTCTCAACCATTCTTTGAGTTGACCTTTGAAACTATTGAGAGTGGGACAATCCCGTATCTCAGTTGGGAGGCTATTCCAGAAAGAGCTGCCTTTAATGGAGAGGACATTTTGTCCAAAAGTGGTCCGTCTACGGTGGACCTCACAGTCTCCTCTGGTTTCTGACCTAGTGCAGCGTCCAGTGTGTTTTCTGTGGATGAATTCCCCTAGGGGAGGGGGGGCCAGTCCATGTAAACATTTATAAATAAAACACATACTTTTAAAAGACTTAAAATGGTCAAAACTCAAGAAATTGTGTTTTTCAAGGATGGTACAATGGTGGTATGAATTTGGCTTTCTGTCACACCTTGATAGCTCTCTTGTACAGCTGTTCTATGGGTTTCAGGATTGTGGCACAAGCAAACGACCAGTTTGTAAAACAGTATTCAATGTGGGATAGAATCATACAGTGGAGGTATGACTTTTGGATAATATTCGTATGTGCAGTATAATTCCATCAGTACAGACGAATGCCATACCCACCCCTCTCTGTGCATTGTGTTTGTGTTCATTAATAAGTATTTGATTGATAGATAGGGGGATGGAGGAATGTAGCTTGAGTAAAAAAACACAGTTGCCCTCTTTGTTATTTTGGTGATCCAACCATGACATGAATATCTCTTTAAAAAAACAAAACACTAATGTATTTAAATAACATTATAGACACAGTTTCCCTAGTTAAGGTAAACGTAGAGATTAACAGTCTGGTTGGTGCAGTGGATGTGACTTGTTTTTCATCTTCCCTTTTTACCCTTTTTAACCAGCAAGACCAGCCCCCCCACACTCACATTAATATGCTGTGTGCATACATGTACATGTGCAGGCCCTTGCACAGGGACACACATAGGCTGCCATAAGCACATATAAATGCGAGAGCTTGCACACACACACTGACACAATAGAGGAGAGCAGTGAGGTGGTGAGGCGAGGTCACACTCCTCCCACAGCCGAACAAAGCTGTCTCTGTTTGTCCCATTTCTCCTTTCAGCCCTTTTCTTTCTCCCTCTCCTCTTTCATTCCCTCGCTTTCTGCTGCTAACTGGACAGAAGATGGCTCCCTGTTTCATTCATTCTCACTCTGTATTTAATAGAGAGATGGTAATTGGAAATTGGAGAGACGGCAAATTGAATTTTTGCCAGTCTCTGTGTGTGTGTGTGTGTGTGTGTGTGTGTGTGTGTGTGTGTGTGTGTGTGTGTGTGTGTGTGTGTGTGTGTGTGTGTGTGTGTGTGTGTGTGTGTGTGTGTGTGTGTGGATGGATAGAAATACTCACTGCTAAATAGAGCATTGTGTACATCGCAAAGGAAGCATGGCCAGAGAAGAAAGACTTCCTAAAAGAAATAGAGAAGTTTTTAGAATAACAAAATAAAAGCATAAACCCACAGGTCACATGTCCTTGAACATACAGCACGCACGCACGCACGCACACACACCTGGCCTCCTCCTCCAACCGGTGGTCAGGCTGGCGGCAGTTCACTGTTGCAACGTAGGTTCCAGGTGTGCAGTTAAGCGACGCATAGGTGACACCGCACACAGACAGGAAGTGCGGTCGCAGCCGCCCGACACTCAGCTTGGCCATGTTGGTCAGAGACTGTCCGACGAAGCAGCCAAACAGGAAGCCGCCCAGCTCCTTGTAGAGACAGGACACATACAGGTTCCTCACGAAGGCCTTAGAGCTGATGCCACTGAAACGAACCCGGTAACACTCCCCGAGAGCGATCTGAAGGAGGACACATCGTCATATAACATTCTCTTCCTTGTGTCAAATCAATAATGGACTGTTAGTTATGACAGGGATGTTGAGTACTCACAGTGAGGCCGGTGATGATGATGCCACCGGCGATGAGTAATTCGTCAGGTATGGCCTCTCGATGCAGATAAGGATACGTGATGCTGGGGTCCCCGCACATGAAGCCCCTCCTGTAAGGACTCACTGCCTTCAGCTCACACGCAAAGAAAGGGATGGAAGCTGCACGGGAGGAAAGGGACATGATTTGTAATTACAACAATCCCCACTGGGAGTATAGACATTCCTTTTTGTGATGGGAAAGTGGAGATGATGCGTGGGAGTAGAACGGCTAGAAACTAGAGGATGAGAAAGAGCAATTTAAGAAGAACCCAAGTATGCATATCAGTTTTTCAAGATGTGCTATCCCCTAGAGTTCTATTTCTACTCTATGCGTTTGAGCCATGCTAGCAGTGTGGCTCTGGGGATGGTGATGTTGTGATGTTGGTACTAGGTTGGTAGGTCAATTTGGTCCAGTCTGAAATATCTCAACTCCTTAGCCCTAAACTTAGATTTATGATCAAACACTTGCAAAACACACGTGAATAGTTCCCATCAGCCTTTAGCCATGGCTAAATAACAAATAGTAGCATGCTAACACTCTAAAATGAAGATGTAAAAATTGAGAATTACCTGCTAAACATCAGCATGCACTGTCAATACTGTTATTTTGAGTTATGTTAGCTTTTACATTCAGCTAGGCAAGAACTTAGTATAAAGAAACCACCTCAATATCACCTCAAACTAATGGCAGCATGGTTTGAATCTGATCGAACAAAGATGCAAGTCGATAACAAAACTAACAGGGAATATGACATGGGAAGATGGAGGGAGGGTCAAACGAGAAATAGTTTTGCAGGAAAATAAGGGTGGGAACTCTTTTTCCTTGGAGAGCAGGCAGAGATTGACAGAGACCAGTCTTGAATTGTATGTGAGTGTGTGTGTCATTGTGTGTGTGTGTGTGTGTGTGTGAATGTGAGTGTATGTGCATTTCTGTTGATGAGAAGAGAAAGGGGCGTTGTTGTGACTTCAGTTCAACTCTTCCGTACAAAACAAAGCAAATGCTGCAGCAGATCAGAGCCAGAGCCAGCCTCACACTGTCTCTGTCTGTCTCCGCTCTCTCTCCCTGTTTTGCATGCCTGCACACACACAGTGGACAGAGGGTTGAGAGACAGAAAAAGACAGAGAATCCTTCTGCACAAGTTCAATCTGTTAGAATAATATTCAGACTACCTCACCGTCCAGCTTTTTCCAATTAGCCGACATTATATAACCTCCCCCTGTCACATATAGGGACCATGGGAGGGAGCAACAATTACAGTCATGCGCACGCACGCACACACACACACACACACACACACACACACACACACACACACACACACACACACACACACACACACACACACACACACACACAAGCATTTATTTATTTATAACAAATACAAATCCCCCTGGCCCGGCTCTACCCTGAGAACTGGAGGTTGTCATGGAAACTGCAGAATTCCCTGGGCAATGCACAAACCAGCTGGCACGGAGCGCACAAGAGCGCGCACGAGTGGAAATCAGAGAGCCAGCATGTAGTAAGAGAGAAAACTCAAAGAACTGTCTTTCTTTTTGCTGCTCCTGTTCTACAGACCCTGATATGCTGATCCTGAATCTGACTGTCCTAGTTGACTAAATACAAAGTGATGGAAACAAAGTGGAACAGAGCTCCACATCATGGTTGAAGTTCACCTTCACCGGAGACACCCTGAATAGGAAGTAGTAACAAACTTCAAGATAGTTCATTTAAAATCTTCAAAGTTAAAAATATCCAACTGATGAACTCTTTCATTACTTTCATTAATTAATAAAAAAGAAGGAAACAGTAAAAAGTCACACATTTCATAACACCCCATGATGATTACAGATTGCTTGCTATGTCCAACCAACACTTCACTAAAATATATTCACATGTATTAACACATGAGACATTAAACCAGCAAATATTCACAACTGTAAGCCAGAGAACACTTGTCAGTTTTTCATAAAAAATACCAAAATTGTTCATTTATTTCTACCAATGACCTAATTGATTATTTAGCTATTAATTAAAACTCTAAAAGTAAAATAGACCCTAAATCAGTAAAACATGTGCATGGATGGACAAAATAACAAAACACCTCACAGCAGGCAAGCAAAAGCCTAACAATACATGAACTTAACAAAGTTGTATCAGCACCTCAACGTACATTTTTACTTACAAAAAGTTAATAGAGAGGCTATGTACAATGGAACTTTACTTTTGTGATGATCTGAATGATGTTGCACAGTTTCTGTTATCAAGTTCACTCCCAGTTGTTGTACACTAAGAAAGTACACAGAATTGTATTCAAAAATGAAACAGCAGATCTAAAGTAGAAACGTTATGATGATATTTACCCAGGAAGAGGCAGAGGAGGTCTAATCCCACCAGAAGTTTTCTTTTGGATAACGCCGGTCCAGTTATCTCTATGAGTTTCTTCCCAGTGCCGTTCTCCATCCCCATCCCGGCCAGGCTGCTCTTGTTGTCGGTCAGTTTGAGATGGAGCTCCGCGCTGGAGACGTGCACAACTGCGCTTTGCGACCCAAATGTATCCAACATGACGTCTCAGCGTAAAAAAACTTGTTTGCATCAAAAGTGCAGGAGCGGCCTTGAACTACTCATGTGCAGAGCTGAGGAGAGAATGTAAGCAGGTCCACGAGTTAAACGGTATTTATGATGCTCCGTCAATGTAAATTCTCTTTTTACGCATTTTTATTTCATCACAGAGTCTGACAGGGCTCGCCCCGAACTCGTTTGCAGAGCATCCGTCACCTGGAAGAAGTTATGCACCCTTGCGCGGAAACTCTGGTTTGTGCAATTACCCGGGGACTCTCATCTCTCTCTCTCTCTCTTCTATCTCTCTCTCTTCTCTCTCTCTTCTCTCTCTTCTCTCTCTCTTCTCTCTCTCTTCTCTCTCTCTCTCTCTCTCTCTCTCTCTCTCTCTATCTCTCTCTCTATCTCTCTCTCTCTCTATCTCATAATTAGGTATGTAATTATTGGGTATGACTACAGAGGAAGAGCATTACATGCATCAGGTGTGTGTCACTGTTGCAGCAGGCTTTTTTCCATGACTATGATTCACCTTACAACTTTCCCTAAGACTTTCATACCTGGGGATGTAGCTTAACTTCTTTAATATATTTTAGAAAATATTTTTGCTCAATCTGATATACAGTATACATGATATATTTGTCTGCTTAGTGACCATTTATATTTCCTTTCTTGTTACCTTTTAATGAGCACCATGGCATTTCACCAAGAATTAGATACATTTGGAATACTTTAAACTGGCTGGCAAATTTGGTAAAAAGTAGGCTTAATGTGAATTGGGACATTTTCAAAATGTTCTGTAAACAAGCAGTTTTAAGTGTTGAAAATCTGTCAAGGAGATTCTTCACAACCCAGCACATCAAAAGTCATTCCCATTAATGTCGTATAACTGCTTCAGAAAATGGTTATGGGGACATTTTGGATTATAGGCTTATCATCTCTCTGGATGAGTATATATATGTATGTGAAAGTGTGTTCAAGTGACAAACTCCATTTCTGAAAAGTAAATCAAACACTTGAGTCAAGTGTCTTAAATCTGCATTTGTGCTAAAGACCAGCAGGTGGAGACCTCACTTGCAAAATGATGTCCAACTGTCTAAAGGTCTATGAGGAAATGACCCCTTGATATATCAACTTAACATCTTCTTATTCGTTTTTTTTTATAACAATCACCAGTTTGAGGACTTCTTATAAGCAGCATGTTGTTAGTTTTGTAAGTTATCTTCCCATCTAGAGTCAAAATGAAGATACAGCAGGGTATGCTTTTCGCGTGGCTACATTGACAGGCAGCTATCACACTGTGTGGTCCGGATTGGCTGTTTTCATCTTAGAAACCTTTCACAGTGTCACAAACCAATGGGTGATTTAATTGTGAATGAATACGTCCAATTCTATATACATTCGATACGTAAAGCAGCAGCCAGTTACCTAAGCATCTAGACTGGAAACAGCAAAAGAAAATCTGCCAACAAGGACCTCCAAAGCTGACAAGTCATCATGGTGTGTCTTGTTTTTTGTTCCAATTCTAAACAATAACAATAATTGTAGGGTAAAATATGTGGGTTTTTCTTTTACTTTGGTTAAGCTATGGGTTAAGTAACTTCCAAAAGTTCTTACTGCTTTATTTACAACTTCACAAAAAATGTAAATTCATTCAACTATAGTTAATGAATTAAACAAACCACCAGAAGGTTTTGAAATATGCTTTTTATAGCACATTTACACTAAGGGTTGTATGTACAGGTTATATTATATTTAGTTCCTCAAGACACATTAGAAAGTACTAAGTGCCAATTACCACAACAAAAGGTGTCATTGCAGTATCCAGTAACCAGAGCAAGGCAAGGCAAGGCAATTCAAAGTGCTTTACAAAAATGAAAGACATTAAGAAAATAGCATTTAAAAACAGTCATTAAAATGCAAAGATAATAAAATAAACATTAAAAGAAAGAATACATGAATAAAAGTTACAGTGCAGTTTAAGATACGAATAGTTCAATTAAAAGCAGCGGCAAAAAGAAAAGTCTTCAGCCTGGATTTAAAAGTAGTAAGAGTTGCAGCGGACCAGGAAGCAGAGCAGGAAGGGAAAAAACAGAGGACAGTAAACATTGCAGCCCAGTTCTGATTTATTATCACTGTATCGCCACCTGCTGACCTACAGTAGTTCTCAGCTAAGATAAACTCAGAGTCTCCCTCAACGATGTGGGAAATGAGACACAATAGTTTAATCACAGTCAAAGACATTATCGTCATATTTGTATCAGTTCTCTAATATACCGAAGTAGTGTAGTGTAATAAATAGTGTATGGAAAGTATTTGTATTTCCACTCTGCTGAAGGGACAAGAAAAGGCACTGCCAGGGGAGGTTTCATTTGTCTCTTCTGCTGATGGTCAGCAATGTTTTGTCCAGTTTCCATTCGTAGAAGAAATAAAAAGAAGCATGAGAAAGGAAAAGAGAGAGCGAGTTTCTGTGCTTTTTTATTTGTAAACTGAAAACAGAGGCAGGGTTTCCCTAAAGCCTTGCGTAATCCTGACCACAGAAAACTCCAGCTGTGGATATGAAAACTGCGTTTGTGAGCATGTGTGTGTGCGCAAGTTCATTGATTCATACAATAGTCTAATGGATTTCCTTTGGAGATGTCTTTCTCATGTATATCTTAAATGTCAGTAAGGATATTAATGAAATGTTGAAATAACTCCACATGACACATTACAGCAGCTGTCTGAGTAATGCTGTCGTCACTTCCTCTGATGAAAGGTGGAAAAGGAGACGCCTGGGGGAACTCTTGATTCCTTTCACTAACAGGTTGGTTAACTACATCATCAGTCCTAAACATGTCAACAAATCAATCAATCAAACTTTATTTATAAAGCACTTTTCATACACAAAAGTTATGAATTGAAAAGTGCTTTATATAAATTAGACACCAGATCCATAGAAAGAGCTACTGTGCTCAATACAAAATAACTAAATGCCAGCGGAACACAATAAACACATGAAACACTGAAAAATACAAGACTAAAAATATGTCAAAAAAGCCAAACTAAAAGGTGGATACGCACACATGAAGAAAACATTATACATTCGGTTTGTTTTTGTAATTCCAGGTTCAATTACATTTTTTAAATAATAATTAGGACCAATGGAAAGACCTGCAAGTTAAAACCACACACACACACACACACACACACACACACACACACACACACACACACACACACACACACACACACACACACACAGTTATTCTAGCAACAAGTGAATGCATTTCCTCACAATCAGATGAGATAATGGTCAAGATTACGCTTTTTTAAACAAACCTGGAAACTTTTGAGGAATGTATGTGTGTGTGTGTGTGTGTGTGTGTGTGTGTGTGTGTGTGTGTGTGTGTGTGTGTGTGTGTGTGTGTGTGTGTGTGTGTGTGTGTGGTTATTACTGCTTATGTTTAAACAAGTGTTTCAGTTTCACAAGGGAACAGAAGACATGGGTTTTTGCTCTGCAGGAGCATCTGACCTTCTTCACTAATGTCATACTTGAACTGCTAAATGCTACATTTCTCTGTTTCACTGTGTCATGCTAACTTCCCCATTGTTGTCTGTCACTCCCACACAGAAACAGTCCCCACATTTGTTCCCATCTTTCCCACTGACTTTTCTCGCTTGTCATTCTTCGTGACATTTTCAAAACTGGAGCACTTTTTTTTGTTGCAAATCCAAAGGTTAGATTATGCTATTCTGTATAAAATACCGCATTTGATTGAGGAAGTCAAATGTATGTGTATTACATCATGAACAATGTTTTAGTTGGCTTTACAGACCCGCAACAACAAAGCTGCCTGACCAACTTCCCCTTTAGGGCTGCAAGAGGGGAAAATATGGAAAAAATCCCCAGAAGAAGACCCCCCCCCCAAAATTCAAAGACAATAAAATACTGTCGTTACTAGAAATAATTTGGAGAATTTGAAGAGCCCGTGATTAAACCACAGACAAGAATATTGCAATCACTGCATGTTGCTCAATGATTTCCCGCTTTACAGCAGTATGGCAGCCTTGGTTTCAAAAACAATCTTATTGCAATTATGTTAGAAAAATGTCACTCGTCACCGGCTTGAGCCTCAATAACAGGATACATGTATTAATAATCCTTGCAAGAAGTGAAGTAGTCATCACATACAGAGCATATGGTACAACTAGTTCCCCGAACAGTGTCCTTCACATGCTTTATATACATGAGAGGGAGTTACACAGTCACAAGATGCAGGAATACCGGTTCAAAGCAGTATACAATGTTTAGTTTAGATTAACTAAGGCCCACGTCAGAAATGATCATGCTTGTCATATGTCTGTCTCCATAGAGGCTGAATACATCGTCACATACACAGCTACGGTTGGGCCTTTGTTATCATGTTCTTCTCTGATATTGGAAGATTACATTCAGTATTTTCCCAACAAATATACTACACAAAATTGGCAAAGACAGCTGTTTTAGTGTGGTCAGCCTAAACATATCTCTGAACTGGTTACTGTCACTTCCCGTCCTATGTTTGTCTTTATATAACGTGCACTTCCCTTTCTGGAACAAACCGCAAACATTCCCTTCAACATTTCTCTCTTAGCAAACTGTGCAGCTGATCTGATCTGATCAGCTGATCATGCTTACATCAGGAAGAAGCATTTGAGTGTGATTTCCATAAATGCAAGTGTAAACTCTCCTGTAGGTTTACAGGATCACCACCTGATGCAGGAGGGCAAGCCCTCACATGTAACACCCTGACACTGGAGATTATTTACTGTAGTTTACAGTAAACATAACCCTTGAAATCTGAGCAGCAATCACTCACTTGAAGTCGCTTGTAACACAAATTCACGAGAGCCAATCACACGTAAAAAAAGATTTAAACAGATTGGGCTGATTTGAATATTATTTGGCTATAAACCAAAATACTTGAGCATTAAAATGTCAATCTGCTTGTGGAGCTAAACGAACCATCAGAAAAAAAACAAAGTCATTAGAGTTTATCTTCTTAACAAACACATAAGGCTGTATCTTTTTTCAGAAGATTATTCGGCATCTTTGCAATGACTATGTCTTCAACATGGTTTCCAAATTAATTTAGTAAACATAGAAAAAAGCCTTTCTCATAAAAGTTTCCTTAAAGTGGGGGAAGACATTGTTTCCTTAACCCTGGTTGTTTTG